TGAGCAGAACGACTATGGAAACCGAGGACATAGAGGACGACCCTGGGTAAGCTGTTGTTTTTTGAAAAGTTTTACTGTTTTTAACAAACACTTGATAGGGACGGGGTGATCATCATGGAAAGAGGTCGTGGGACCGAGAAGGTGACGACAGTTATCATAACAAAAGGGGACGAGGTGGAAGAGGTGGAGATCGTGGCCCACCGCGCAACTATAGGTCTGTTACGTTGATCTTGGTTTGCAACTTTTGTAAGGACAAGTATAATGTTTAGTCGTGCTCATGTTTAGAAGTCTTGATGATGGTTTTGACCCGTTCGAACCATTTGAGGGACCTGTTCGTTTGCCTTCTTCTTACTTGAATAAGAAAGAAGGCGATAGCAGCAACGCCATTCACTCTGAACAAGCAAATGGTAGCAGCGAAAAGCTGGAAAATGCTGCGAAGAGTTGGGAAAAGTATGTTGCTACGGAGAGTAAGTAAAATCTTGCTTATCATACTGTGCAGCACAAGTCGAGTTTCCTCTTTTTACTATTTTCATGATGCCATTTGACTGTTTCTTGTAGCTGCTTTACGTTGCATCTTTTCACTTTGCATATAGAAGAGTTCCTTTTTTTTGTATCATTCATATTTCCTCAGATAGATTTTATCTGCATCTCTCAAACACCTACAATGCAAGAGATTGACATATTTCGTTTGTTAGTTCCTTTCACATGTATAATATACTTTGATGTTCCACTAGTTTAGTATGAACCCAGGTTACGTTGTTGTTGATGTTGTTGTTATTGTCACATTTTTGTGATATTGTTACTTCCTAGTTATGTTTGCATAAATGTCTACACTTTACTTTCGTCACCTAACTTGGATTGTTGTGGCATATACCTCGATGAGGAACAAAGTCTTCTTATTTGCAACGTAAAAAAGAGTTTTTAATCAGAAAATGAGTGGGAGTCCGCCAGAGACGTCTTCTGAAGTAGTTCAGCTAACTTCGATGGAACCTGTCAAAATGAGCGAGGATGGAGGCGGTTAGTGAAACATGTCTGTCTTCGCTATATTAGGAGTTGGAAAATTTGGTGATTT